TCAGAGTAATGCTAATATTAATGGTGATATTGCCACGTCAACTGTAAGGCCCTCTTACCAACCATCATCTTCCTCGCCACTTCCCATGGCAAACACCAGAATTTTGTCCTTCTCGTAGCATGGGATATATATTTTTGCGTAACCAGACTCCTGTTCCGCGGAGCAAAGGTCATCGTAGCCAATGGCGATAGACCCAACAGTGGCTCCGCACCGAATCTCCGACATTAAGCGGTATTGCGCATCCGAATCTGATACATAGAGTGAATCCCGCTCGCTAACATCCTCGGGTCGGAAAATGTATGCGGATTCGGCACAATCACCGGCAATTGCAATCATTGGTCGTTTTCCTTTGCGAGCATCTTCCTTTCGGGCATGAAAGGTGTACACAAATCCTGGGGCTCCAGGATTGATCACGTTCCAAATTTGGGCTTTCACCTTGAATCCAGTAGCAACAGTTGTTCTGACCCATGGCTCGCTCTTCCATGCATCTTTCCCTTCTGGTACCCGATAAGAGAACAACGATCCACCATCGAAGGATTTGGATCGGTCAACGTGGTGAGGGTCTTTTGCGTGATGCGTGGTCATGCTTCCGCCAATCAATTCCTTTTCTTCGCTTTCAGCATAGTTACACTCATGACTTGTGACCAAGACGTGCGAGAATGAATCACCTGGCTGGAGTGTCCGTACAGTACTTCCAGAATCAATCACCACATTCGCAGGGCTGCCTGCTTGTCTGCCATCCAGATTCGCCACAATCCCACCAAAGGCAGCACCACATCGATTGTCAATGGTCCTGGCGAATGAAATAGACGGATTCTTTCCAATCTTGATGGAATGCAATGTTACTCGTTTGTCAAAGAACTGGCTCGCGATTACTTCGATAGTGTCGTCTTCTGTATCCATATCGACAACGTTGAACATAACATCGGGGCCCGTTGCCAAAACTCGTTCCTTCCATGGTAGATGACGTGAGCTGAATGGATCGAACGCCGTTCCATCTTTCTCCAATGGTGTCCCAGTGGATTCGTCGAAATGATGAGGTTCTGGCATTTCGAGCCACACCAACTGCCCATTTTTTGGTCGGTTATCCTCCTCCTTTGGAGTATCTTTGTGACCGGCAACTTTACGGAGTTTGGCCCGTGCCGTCAAAATCGACTTTCGTCCATCTCCTGTAAGGTCCACCCATACCGCTCTGTATGACAAAAAGTACGATAAGCCCAAAGTCAGGAACAATCGATGCGATTGTTACCATTCATTTTTAGCAGTCAATGGTCTTACCTGTGATAGAACCAGTTATCTAGTTTTTCATCTGTCAGGCACATCGTCCATTCAGAGTTGGGATTGCTTGGGTTCTTGATCACGTAAATTCCGCCTCGATCTTTTCCCGGAACCAAAAAGCCATCGCTGACTAACAAAGCATCGTCAACTTCTACTTTTTGACGTTGTGGGCCACCTCGATCTACAAGAACTTTTGGCACATGGTTCACTTCATTGGGCCAGAGTGTCATAGATTTCGACCTTTTGTTGACCGAATCAATGTGTCCCGATTCCGCGTCCACACTTTGTACCAATCCTTTGCGACCTGTGAGGGTGAATCCAGTTACCCACAGCCGATCCCGATAGGGGGCATTCCATTGGATTTCTTCCAACTCTCGGTATACTGGACTGTTCCTCCACCGATTCCATCTGGTTGTGGATTGCATGGTTCGAACTTCCGTGGCAGAGGCACCGGGTCCATCCGCGGGAAGGATGTTCAAGTATCCAGGTTTGGGGATGTTAACCTCTGCTAGCAGCTCCAAACTGACGGATGTGTATCGATTATGTAACTCCAATCTAGCCTCCTCATCAACCCACTGGAACCGATCGTAGGATGCAAGACTCCTATCGATAGTGGTTTCGTTCACCAACACGTATGTAGTTGCGATGTTTTCATTCACTCTTCCGAGATTGAGCCATCTTGCAGTTGGATTTTCTTGGATATCGATAATCAACGGATATCTGCCCGTGACGAATCGTTGACGACTGTTGGTTCGACTCAGAATTCCTCGAAAGTACGGAGACAAGCCTTCCATGCTGGCCACTTGGGATGCCATGTCTAGTGACGATGATGATGATGATGAGCCTCTCTGAGGCAATGAGAAAGGACTGAGTCGTCTTCTTGAGAAGGCCTGATTCGGCGCATATGCCGCCACTGAGCTCTCATAACTACTGATTGAAACAAGAATTACTGATGCCATCAAAGAGAGCGAAGAAGTGAATGACGTCAAACCGGTTCTTCCTCGTTCCCGTTTCCGTTTTCGACGTAGACGCCGACTTGGGTTCACCATATCTCGTTCCTTCACTTCGTACAGACATAATGGGACCATTATCGTAGTTTGCTCGCTTCAGTGGAGTGTTCACACCGAGAATGACAAAGGTGAAGAATACATCAACGAATCAATCAGCCGAGGAAAGTTGGGCAGAATGCAGAATGATTTTTGTCGAAAGTGACGCAAGTTACGTGGAAGTAGCCTGGCCTTCTGTGCGTATTGATAGATGTGCTTCCTTAGTCCCGATTCCTCCAATAAACAGAATATGATGATGAGGGATAACAATTTCGAAACACCATCAACCAACCATGAATGCACCTCAGACCACCACCGTATCAAGAAAACGCCATAGGATCGCCATGGTTTGTGACTTCTTCTATCCACGCCTAGGTGGAGTAGAGATGCATATTTGGTCCTTATCTCAACACCTGATACGCCTGGGCCACAAAGTAATTGTCATTACCCATGGGTATGAAAATAGGAAAGGGGTCCGTTACATGCCTGGACCTCTGAAGGTGTATTATTGTGTAAGAAGAAAATCAAACACTAGAATAAAAGTTCTGCCTGATTGCTGACGCTGTGCCTTGCCCACCATACATACATCACAGCCAATAATTCCAATGACCGATCAAGATGCACTTCCAACAGTGACGGCAACTTTTCCCTTGATTCGAGAAATTCTGATACGAGAGGGCATAGAAATTGTACATGCACATCAAGCAACTAGCGTCATGGCGAATGAAAGTGTCGTATATGCATCAGCTTTGGGGCTGCCTAGTGTTTATACCGACCATTCCCTATTCCAATTCGATGATCTTGCCGGTGTCATTCTGAATCGAGTAAGTTGGTCCCCTCTTTTCTCTCTTGTGACTCTCGCTCTTCCATATTTTCTGATGCAATTCGACTATGCATAGGTTCTGCAGACCACCCTTAGCACATTGAATGCTGCCATTTGTGTCTCCTATGCATGTCGAGACAACCTGATCTTGCGGGCTCATCTTGACCCAAGCAGAGTCAATGTCATTCCAAATGCTGTGGATGCATCCAAATTTACGCCGGACCCTTCAAAGAGAAGCAAAGATCGGTAGGTTTCTTCACTAAGTTTGTTCTCGTCAACTTTCATCATTCTCACCCCAGTGCAATCAATCATGCAGAATAAAGGTTGTAGTGGTATCCAGATTGGTCTATCGCAAGGGCGTTGACCTCTTGGTGGGAATAATACCAAAGGTAGCAAAACAACTCCCTCAAGTCGACTTTATCGTAGGGGGTGATGGGAACAAAATGCTAGACCTAATAGAAATGGTAGAACGGGAGCAACTGCAAGATCGGGTCGAATTTTTGGGTGCTGTACCACACGTCCAAGTCGCGAGTGTATTGCAAAGAGGACACGTCTTTTTGAATTGTTCCTTGACGGAATCGTTCTGCATTGCGATTTTGGAAGCGGCTAGCTGTGGATTGTTGGTGGTTTCCACCAACGTGGGGGGAGTGCCAGAGGTGCTTCCCTCTCCCGATATGGCCATCCTCTGTGATTCCAATGTATCCGCCTTGGTAAAAGGCGTAAAGGCTGCCGTAGAGCGACAAGAGGGAGACGGTGATGATGCTGTTGATCCAATCCAAGCTCACGAGAGAATAGAGACAATGTATTCATGGCATAGAGTCGCCAAACAAACAGTCCAGGTCTATGACCGCGTTGCCAGTGAACCTCCACAAACATTTTCAGAGAGGCTTGCTTGCTTCCAATCCTTGGGAGGAATCGCTGGATTCGTGGCGGGTCTCTTACTAATGATTGTCGAAGTTTGGATTCGGATTGTCATTCTTTGGAGACCGACATCGACCATTGATGTTGTTCCAGATCTCATGCCATTCGAAAAGGCCTATACGAAGGATAAGAATAACTGAACAATTCTCTTTCTATAGTCATTACAATGAACTGTGAATCATTTGGTACAACCCAGCGCTTATTCGTAAACCCAAGAGTCAACAGTCTTTCCCCAGTCGTTGACGCCCTCAGGGAACCACATCTTCAATTCGTGTGCGGCGCTCTCTGGAGAGTCAGATCCGTGACAAATGTTTCTTCCAAGATCGATGGAGAAGTCTCCACGGATGCTTCCTGGCTTGGAAGCAAGTGGTTGGGTCTCACCAAGCATTTGGCGGCCTTGCTTGATAATGTCCTTACCTTCCCAGCACATACAGACAATGGGTCCACTGCTGAAGAAGGAAGTAAGACCACCAAAAAAGGGCTTCTTAGACAAGTCAGCGTAATGAGCTTCGGCCATTTCCTTAGTGGGCCAGACCATCTTAAGTCCGACAAGCTTGTATCCACGCTTTTCGAAACGGGCGATGATATCACCAACCAATGCACGTTGGACGCCATCGGGCTTGACGGCAAGGAATGTGCGCTCTTGGTTTGTTCCTGCCTTTCCCCAGACTGGAAGGGCTTCTTCACAGGAAGCCTTATTGTTCCATGCGGCGGCACCAGCAGCCATCATGAGTCCAGTTCCCATGACGAAGGCAGAGGAGGAGTTGGTCTTGGCAGCAGAAGCAGCAGTCTGAGCAAGATTAAAGAAAAACAATGTGAGATGGGCACCGATGAAGGAAGCAAAGTCGGTTCACCTGCTGGGTATAGTGAAAAGATTCCGCGATCTTTTGTGTAGGCCGATCGTCTCAGATCCTACTATCGGCAGTTTCCAATGAGACATTATTGTGCTTACCGAAATAGAACGAACTCCTTGGGTGGTAGCGCGAGAGCGAAGAGAGTTGGCGGTGCGGGAGGCAATACGGCTGAACATAATGAAGGTTGTGTGTTTGGTCTAAGACAGTAGTGAACTATAATGGAAATAAAACGCTGGTCTTTTGCCGATGCGTTTGATGGATGACGTAAAAAGTCTGTCCGGTGACCTATTTTCAATTTATTGATTTGTTCGACCAATCGACAATTGGAAAACGAACAAAATAACCGTCACAAAAACTTTCCAAGCCTTCACATGCGGGGATCGCTGATGATTCTGAAGTCGATACATTGATTCTTTCAACCTCTAATGGACGGACCTAATCAACAATGATCCTCGAAGGTGGAAATCTGGCGAATTTGTTGGTCTAGACCACCCGACACCTGAATACATGCAAGATCTTCTCACAGTCCTGCAATCTGCTGTCCGGAAAACTGAGGAGATGGGTCTCGTCCATGGTTGCCAACAGTGTTGACACCTATTCATACTTAAGGAATTGTCTGCATTCTACAGACAATGATACTGTATATTTTCAAAGTTTTTATTGCGAAGCGAGAATATAACCACAACAGAAGAAGCAGCGATTCTTGCTGGCATACTAAGGAGGGAAACCACATCCCTTGAAGAGTTGGAACTGCCGTCAGAACTACGGACTCAAGGTGTCTAGTTGAGATTTATGGTGCCATGAACAATGTTAGAGGCAGAGTTATCTCTCCAATCCTTCCCTGATACTGGCGATTCTACTTTCCAAGACAAAATTGTCATCAGCTTTCCCGTCTGCACATGCTTTCACCGCAGCCACTGCCATCTCTTTCTTCGATCCCTTTTCTTTCAAAATCATCAATACAAAGTCGCAAACCAATGAAGAAATGCGACTGGGAATTCGGTTCAGCCGCCTCATCATCGATAGGCTTCCTATTTCATCCGAAATGCTGCTTGCCAAGTTGCGACCCAAAGTGGCGACGACGAAATGGAGGAAGAAACCATCCAAGTTTCTGTCAGAGCTTTCTTTTGCAACGGCAACAGCAAGTGCATCCAAGACACTAGATGCATCCTTCGTGGAACCGTCCGCTGCTGGCAATCCACCCGACAGGAAAACTTCTAGGAGCTCTTCGTCAGATTTGCTGTCATCAGGAAGTGTCAAAAGATGAAGCATACCACGGAGTTCTTGCATTGTACGGCACCGAATTGATGGAGGATACACTGGGGAGAGGAAAAGTCTCACACATTTTGTGAAGAAGGAATATTGCGCACCATAGTCTCGGAAGGCAGCGATGACATCCTCCAACAATGCTTCCAACGAGCGCATTGCCTCTGGAGACAGTGTATCCGTTGTCATATTTGAATTCAGAAGTTTGTCGAGCAAGGCCTTCTCTTTCTCTTCAGTATCCTGGTCTACTTCTGGATCCGCGACTTCTTTCTTGGCGGGTTCGGTGTGATGGAGGCAAGCTTGGCTCAATTCGAATAGCGAGGTTTCATTCAGCTGGCTGCAGTACTTTTCAAACAAAGCTCCTGAAGCTTCAGCGATTCGTTCGTCTCGAAGGATAGTCTCGGGATGCAAGCAGACATTGAGCAGGTAGTACATTTTCGCACCAACTGGAATGGAGGGAGAGTACCACCGACACGTTGCATCAATTTCCTCAGCTTCTTCCAATTCCAATAGTAGCCCAAGCGCTGTTGAAACGACACGCACGGCTTCATTTGTTCCTTTGTCAACAGTTTGCTGCTTCATTTGAATGGAACCAGAAAGGGTTTGCAAGAGCCACAAGTTTCCAAGCGGCAGAATCAATTCACCGTTTGTCTTTGGGCCCATACGATCGGTAGCACTGAGAAGCGAGTCCAATGCGAATGGCCCATATCCCTCCACTGTCAGCCCAAATCCGTGCTGCAGTTTGAAGCTATGGTCAAGCTGCTTGCGAGCCATTTCCGACCCACATATTTCTCCGAGGAAGAGAGTTGAAATTGGCGACGATCCCGAGGAGGAGTCATGCAAAGGATTGCCACTTGGCATGAACAAAACATCTTGACTGAACAGTACTGCTGCAACTGCCTCTTGCCCACGCTCGAGATTCGCAAGCAGGAAAAATACCAACATCCTGGCTTGATTGATATCGGATGACGAGGTTAGAACCCCAATCGAATATGCATGAAACAGCAATTTGGCGACAGCAAAATAACACTGGTTCATCCAACCTTGACGTGGAAGTGCCCATGTTGACAGATCACCTTTTTCGTTTCCTGATAAAATTCTAGTCCTTTTGCAACCTTCGATAATCCGCTCAACGAAATGCTTCACTACCGCTTTCGTAAGCTGCTGTACCATTCGATTTTTCTGGCTGGTTCTGGACATATCCATCTCTACCAAAGTATTGGCAAACGAAGACAGGAATGCAGAAGCAGCAGCTTCTTTCGGCGTTCCAATGGCCAAGTCTTCATAATCCTCAGACTCTTGCTGCCAGACTAATTTCCATGCTACTTCTAGCACACCGCCAGGATCCGTCCACAAATCCAAGTTTTCGAGAAAGGCCAACTCGTCTTCCATTGCAATTTCTTCGACCTTGACTTCTTGGTTTGCTGTGGATTGCGAAGTATTGGCTGCCAAACTCCAGTAGGAGGATAGAAACCGTAACCTGGCAGCCTTCCATTGGAATTCGCGACATGCATCGACTGACTGGGTTGTCAATGAGGATGGATCGCTGTCGGAAGCTGGGGCAGAAGGAAGAAGGAGCTGCCGCTGTGTCGCTGCCAGATGGGTCGGAACCATTGATAGAATACGCATAGACTCCTCATCGATAATCGGCTTCGTTTTGGCCTTGTCAAGAGCAGATGTCTTGCTTTGTGCTACGCGGGCACATTCCAGAATTTGGGTAAAGGCGGACAAGTATTCAGCGGACAACGACGAAGGATTCGTATGTGGCAAGGCCCAGTGATGAGCTGCCATTTTGAGCATTGTGGCAAATCCTGGCAATCCCAAGCCATATCGCATCAAGGTCCGCCACAAGATGATCCCCATCTTTTGAAGACGCAATTCCAATGGAGATAGACCGTCCGACGGAAGTAGTAAGGCGGGCAAGACTTCCTCCATGTGCGGAGCCATGGCCTTGGCAGTGACCCGGGATTGTCGTGCTAGAGTTAGCAAGAGTTGTATGGAAGCAAAAGCGACTTGTTCCAACAGAGCTATTTCTTCCAGCTGATGCCCTGGCTGTTGGCGTTCCAAGGAGTATCGCATCAAGCAACGATCCAGAATCTGCTCGAACATGGACTTTTGGTGCACAATGACGGTGGCAGCACCTGGCGACCGTTGTCCCAACATGGCTAGTATCCCACACGATGCAATCCAAGCTTCTTCGGGCAACATGAGCGCATCATTCTTCGGACATAGCAGCTGCGAGAGCCTCGGAATGATTCGCATTTTGGAGAGCAGTGTCCACATGGGATCCTTTTCAAAGGCCTTGGCATCCTCCATTGCTGATGTCGACGAAGATGAAGTGGAATATGCAGCCACCGAACTGGAAGACTTGCCAGTGTCCACGGCCAAAGGCTGCACTGTGTTGGACGGATAAGCAGTGTCCAGAGGAGGCGTTGGGATAGCATCTTCCATGAAAAAATGCTGATACATGTCTTTCTCGGACCATCGACTGGACGATAAGTCTGTTGCAATAGTAGGTAGTTCCCCATTTTGATTGTTTTTATTGTCACCTCCCTCCATGGTACGACCAGTTCTGGTACTGCTGTCAACCCAAACTAGATGATCGTCCACTGCATTCAGCACCAAGAGGCTGTAAAGCGCCTGAAGCACGTAGGTGTGGAGAATTCCTTGTCCATGAATTGGCTCGTCCATCAAACATCGCAACGAAATGGGCAATAAAAGTGGCCAATTCTTTTTCGTGGTACTAGTCTTGGAGGAAGTATGGCCCAACTTTTCTTGTTGCAATTCTCGAACTCGTTCTGATAGGGATTGACTGACCAATCTAGCAGCCCACAAGGTTTGCCTCTTGACAGTGGATCGAAGCAAATCGCAGGCCATGTCAAAGTCCTTGTCTACAGGGTCGTTGCGGCTATTATCATTTGGCAGTGTTGAGGCATCAGTGGTTCCTTGTTCTCCAGCGTCTAGAAGAGGCTCGTGTTCCAAAGGATGGGCTTGTTGCATTTCTTGATGGTAGGCTTGATCCAAATCATGGTGAGTTCGGACGGAAGACATTAACTTTGCCAAGCGTTCTTTTTCCTGTTGCGGATTCTTTTCAGTTTTCTTTTTCTCCATGATTGGAGTCTCCGACTCGGTCGGCTCTGGCGTCGCATCCTCCTCTACCCCCACCACAGGCTCTTCCGTTTGATCTTGCTGTTGCTTCTTCTTATTCTTTTGTTGGGATCTCGCCTTTAGAAATGCCTTGATATCAGGCGAAAGCGCAGCCTCCAAATCTCGTTGATGGGATTGAATGTCTTCCATGGACATTTGGGCCAACATGTTGGTGGCATCTCGGGCACTCGCTTGTTGCATGGAATCTTGTTCGGACGGCGGTTTCTCTGCAACTATTGGTTTTCTTGTTGGCTTTTTTCCTTTTGTTGTTGATCGTTGTGATTGCTTTGGCTTTTTGACAAAGGTTCCAATGGGCATGTGGACGGATGGGAATCCAGCATTCGGCAGCAAGGGACCAGCATTGTTACTTTGACCTTCCTGATGCTGTTGCTGCTGAAATTGAGAAGCTTTGGCTTGTTGGGAAAATCTACTTTGATTTTGTTTTCGCTGGAAGCGGGTAGTCTTTCGTTCCATCGGCGATACACTGTGTTCTACAACGTCTCCGACAATGGATGGAGGCAACACACCAGGAGTTTCAGGAGTTGTAGGACCCCCTATCCTGCTGTTCACTTGCTGCCTCTCAGAAATTTGGCTAGTAGAAATTCGCTTAGGCTCTTGTCCTGTTTTGACTGCTGTATTGGAAGACTGGCTAGAACGAATCACTTGCGCCGAAGGCTGGCCTCCTTCTGGCATCGGCATCTCCATTCGTTCTTGCAATCGTTGATTGGTTACTGCCGACATGATGGGAGCTCCCTTACGCCTTCGCCGATTAACACTAGCCTTCTGCGGCCGTTCCATAATGTCTGGAACCCCTGATCCACTCATTGACGAATCCTTTTCTGTAATTTTTTTACCACCCTTTGAAGCAGAAGTTGGTTTTGAAACGGGCGTCGTCATCAGACTTGCCACAAACTCATCCGACATTCCTTCTGTGTTGGCCATTGTGTTCGTTGGGTTTATACGTTTACACGTTTATCTTTTGTTTTGTGTATGCAATTACCGTGGTGATGGAGGTCCTTTGTCAATGCAGCTGATGATTCCTTTGTATAGTTGGTAACAATTACTAATATGATGATGATGGAAGGATTTCATTTCATTTCTCTTTGGTTCCCTCCAATGTG